GGGGTTTGATTTTGGTCAAGAGCTCATACCTTAGTTGTAGGCTCCTCACTGGCCGGGGCCCTGGTGGGGGCACTTGTAAGAGGCAACCAATTGATGTTTTTCTCAAATTAATATTTCTCTATCATTCCCTCTCTCTTCCACTCTCTAAAAATCAATGGGAAAATATCCTTGATTTAAAAAATAAAATTAACAAATAATACAAGAATATTCTCTGTGCTTTGTATACTCACAAATGTAAACCTACTTTTGTCCCACCCCATATTAAATATTCCATTTCATACTATCCACAATCTTTCTCTGTACTCTAGACCAGCTGTTACCAACCTTTTAGACCTCACAGTGCGACCACTGCCTAGACACATTGTATTATTAAATGTCATTATTTAATACTACCATTCTAGAGGATAGGGCACAAATCTACAATGTAAGTAGATGTTGAGGATTTAAAACATACTTAAGACTGATCAATGAATTTTCAGAAATTATCACAAACATTTAAATAATGCTATTTATTTTCCCCAAAGAAATCCAGATACTCCCAGTCTTACAAATTACATAAATGATTAACTCCATAAGGGAACATGAGCCTAAAAATCAACTACAAAGAAATCTTTCACTTTCACTTGTAAAATGAAAGTAAAAAAATATCCTAGAGCAAACCAGAAAAAGAACCTGCTCAAAATAGGTTCCTTTACTCTTAGATTCTTCTAATGTTCCTAAGTTTCGAGCTCATACTCTTGATTTAGACAAAGGGGCAGAGCATCAAAAAAACATTTCCAACTTAAGTATTCATAAATAAAAGTGGTTGAGCCCGGGCCAGTGTGACTTAATTGTTGGAGGGCTGGCTGGCACACCAAAAGGTTGCAGATTTGATTCTGTCAGGGCACATATCTGGGTTTGAGTTCAATCCCCATTTGGAGGACATATGGGAGACAATTGATCAGTGTTTCTCCTTCCCTATCTCTCTTCCTCCCCCCCCCCAGATCAATTAAATATATCCTTGGGTGAGGATTAAAAAAGAGATGAATATGAAGAAATAAGGATATTATCAACAGGAGACTTCCTTGATCCCAAATTAGTTATTCAGAAAACTGATCCTTCTTGTTGGCATTGTGGAGGATGACCTTACCTTCCAGACCAATTCAAAGTGGATATGCAGCAGAGATCCACCCAATTTTTGGAATAGTTTAGTGAATGGTGGGATATGTAGTTCACAGGGAAGCATATGTAACAATTTAAAGTAGGAAAGAAGACCTTCAATTGGGGGAGAGGGGGTGGGGGAGTGGGGGGGAATTCTGCTTTAGCCCTAGCTGACATGGCTCAGTTAGTTGAATGTCAGTTCTGTGCACCAAAAGGTCGCCGGTTGGATTCCCCGTGAGGGCTCATGTTCTGGTTTTGGGTTCAGTCCCCATTCAGAGGCAACAGATTAATGCTTCTTTCTCCTTCTCCATTCCTCCCCATAAAATCAATAAAAACATTTTAAAAATATGCTTTAGCCGAAGCCGGTTTGGCTCAGTGGATAGAGCATCAGCCTGCGGACTGAAAGGTCCCAGGTTTGATTCTGATCAAGGGCATGTACCTTGGTTGCTGGCAAGTACCCAGGAGGGGGTGTGCAAGAGGCAGCTGATCGATGATTCTCTCTCAACGATGTTTCTAACTATCCCTCTCTCTTCCTCTCTGTAAAAAATCAATAAAATATGTTTAAAAATATGCTTTAAACTAAGTCTAACTGCTCACAATTCTCCAGCAACTCACTTCATGTTGACCCTGCAGTCACTAAAGCACTACCCAGTTTTGAAACAACTCTATACAGCCCTTCTAATTAAAGGGACAACTCCTTAAAGTGAACAGTGTGGTTGAATTATTGGGAAGAGTTGTTTCTAAGGGAGAATGTAGGTCTAAAGATGTGTCAAGACAACCTATGATGTATAATCAGTACTGCCAGCTAGCCATAGGAATGACCTGGACACAAAATTTGTCACAAGCTAACAAATTCATCCCCTTTAGCTCATCTTTCTAGGTGATCTTCATTGACTACAGGACTTCCAGTAACTCAACAAGTCAGTGGAGCACCTGCAGTGAAGAGCAGAGTTAGAAGTGAAAGCTCTACTTTGTTTTACTGATACTTTGGAATACAGATGGTTTTTAATTAAGGGTAATTGTGGCGAGGACGGAAAAATTAAGTACTGCTCATTAATATAGACAGAATGAGCTAGCTCATGTGTTAAGATAATCACTGTTTGCAGTTTTCTGTGGTCAAGACTTGTGGGTTAAACAAAAAAATGAAACTCAGAAATCTCATTTTGTTCCCTACCCCCACCTCCAGCCTTTTAAGTTAGCTCTATCCTAAGAAATGTAAATCCTTGTTCAGTTAAACCACCCCGCAATGGTGTATTTCTCCAATACTGGTTACTTTATAAGTGGAGTTTTTGGCATTTAAAAAAACAAAAACCCACAATTAAAACGGACAATTTAGGCAGGTTCTGGAGAAATTAACTCTTTGTTCACCAACTTTTTTTTTTGGGCAGGATTCTGCTGCTGCTGCTGGGAAATAAGTGATCAACATAATGGAGAAAGTTGTGCATCAAGCGATGGACAAATTAATGGCTACACCCAAGAAAGCACTTGGGGCCACTCTGCAGCCGCCGAGTGACCTTGCCTGGAAGCCAATGGCTGCGGGGCCTGGGACTAGGAGGAAGGACGGACCCTGGGAGCCAGGACCTCTGCCCTTGGGGGAACCCTTACCTCCACTGTAAGGCCTTGGAATACCTGGTCTGCAGAATGGAGACCAGGAACACTGACCCCCCAGGGCCTGTAACCATGCCCATCCTGGCGGGGCAGGAGGTGGCTAAGCCCTTTGCAAATAGGAAGTGCCGCCGCAGGAGCACGAGATAAGGATGTGGCCCTGCGGGAGAGGGCCCTGCTTCGGGGTTTTCCTTGTTGGGTCCCGCCCCGCGGCGATCAGCACCCACTGCTTGGCTCTCCATCAGGCCCCTCGGCTCCCCGGGGCTGGGGGACCCCCCCCGGCCATAGCCGGGCCGCTGGGGGTGGGGGGTGGGGGGTGGAGGGCCCAGCGCCGCGCAGGCCCAACCGCTCCCCGGCCTCCGTCCCCGGCCCGGCCCGCCCGCCCGCCCTCCCCTCCCGGCTGCGCGGCCTCACCAGGGGGCGAAAAACTCCACGAGCATGAGGCCCGCGGAGCCCGTGTCGGAGACGCGGCTCTCGAAGTTGTCGTCCGTGAGTTCCAGCACGTCGGAGGCGCCGGCGAGGCGGGCCGCGGTCAGCAGCAGCGCCACGCCCGGGAGCAGTGCGAGGCGGCGGGGGCGCATGGCGGCGCGGCGGGGGCGGCGGAGGGTCGGGACTCGGCGGGGGACCTGCGGGAACCGGACCTGCAACCGCGCACCCTGGGCCGGTGCTCACGCGTCTGGCCCGGGCGGACCTGCAGCCGGAGGTCCCAACCCCCGCGGCTCGGGCCGCAGTGTGGCAGCCGCCGATTGGCTGCGCGGCGCTTGCGTCGGGCGGGAGGGCGGGCCCGGCTGGCAACCGCCGGGCCGGGGCGCGGGGCGGGGCCTGCGGCGGGCGTCCGGGAAGAGGGCCCAGGAGGGGCGGGGGGCCGGGGGGCCGGGCTGGAGCCGGAGCTGGGGTGCGGGCGGAGCTGCAGAGGGGTCGCGGTCCGGCGGGGAGCCGGCCCTGACCGCGTCCCACGCGTGGGGGTGGGGGTGGGGGTGCAGGTGCGGGACGGCCGAGCTGGGGGCGCGGAGCGGAGGCGGAGGAGCGCTGTCGGGGCTGAGGGGGCGGCAGAGCGCGGGCTGAGGTGAGGCCCGGCCAGCGGGAGGGGAGAGGAGGAGCTGCGCAGGGGCCGGCACGTTATCCAAATGCGAGGCTGTTGCATGTGGTCCTGTTCCTCTGAACTTTCTTTTTATTTGGGGGTCGGCCCAGAGCTTTCCCACTGCGCCCCCTCATGGCCTTGCCTGGTTCCTTCAGGTCCAGGGGCTGCCCGAATTCCTCTTTGTCCAACAGCAGGACGGGACGCCTACCAACCCTTGTTGCTGCTGCTGCTTTTATTTTTATTTTAAAAAATATATATATTTTATTGATTTTCCACAGAGAGGAAGGGAGAGAGAGAGTTAGAAACATTGATGAGAGAGAAACATCGATCAGCTGCCTCCTGCACACCTCTTTCTGGGGATGTGCCCGCAACCCAGGTACATGCCCTTGACTGGAATCCAACTATGACCTTTCAGTCAGCAGGCTGACACTCTATCCACTGAGCCAAACCGGTTTCGGCAGTGGCTGCTGCTTTTAATGAGAAATGCCGGCACACAAGTGAAGATGGCCGGAATTTAGTCAACGATGCAATATTCTCTGAAGACTCCTGTTGCCTCAGACACGCACACACACCTTAAGGCTTTTTTAAAAAATATATATTTTATTGATTTTTTACAGAGAGGAAGAGAGAGGTATAGAGAGAAACATTGATCAGCAGCCTCTTGCACACCCCCCCCCCCACACACACACACACACTAGGGATGTACCCACAACTAATGTTCATGCCCTTGACCAGAATCGAACCTGGGACTTTTCAGTCCACAGGCGGACGCTCTATTCACTGAGCCAAATCAGTTTCAGCCACATCTTGAGTCTTGGTACAATATGTTGTTTTGTGTGTGTGTGTGTGTGTGTTTTTAAATATTTTTAAAATTCATTTCAGGGAGAGGGAGAGAGAGAAACATCAATGACAGGAGAGAGAGACATGGATCTGCTGCCTCCTGCACACCCCACACTGGGGATGGAGCCTGCAACCCAGATATGTGCCCCTGGCCGGAATCGAACTGGGACCCTTCAGTTCGCAGGCTGACACTCCATCCATTGAGCCAAACCGGCTAGGGCCATGTTTGTATTCTTAAGGGCAAAGAGAGTGGGAGGAGGGGAAGGAAACCCCTGATCTTTGATGCAACTCCAAGAATGAAATGTTATTTGATTTTTCCATTTTCTTAACAGACATGACTACTTACCACCCCGAGGGACACATTCAACTGCCCAGAGCAGATGCCATTCGTTCTCGTCTCATTGATACCTTCTCTCTCATCGAGCATCTGCAAGGCTTGAGCCAGGCTGTGCCACGGCACACAATCCGAGAGATCCTTGGTCAGCAGCCTGTTTCTTCACAAGGAGAAACTTAAGACTCCCATCCAAACCCTCCGAAGCATCCAGACCATTTTAAAGTGTAGAAAATTCAGGGGAGATTGATATGGTTGTTAGTTTGGAGGTTACATCAAACTTGGTAAATGAAAGGTTTTAAAAATAAAATTATTTGAATCCAGGTGATAAAACCTATGCTACTAATTTTTAGGCCAACTAGCACTGACTGTTGAGGAACTTTTTACCAAAGACATTTAAAACCTGCTGTCTTTATTCTTGAGCAGTATTGGCCATAAGCAATACATTAACTCTTCAAACTAATATTAGTTGCTCTGAGAAGGAGCAGCAAAGCAAGCCCCTATGTAATCAGTATTCTTGCCCTCAATCCTTCCTGCTCTTCCTTCAAACTTCTCTTTATAATTATCTACTGACCCTTTTTTATTTTCGGTGTAGATCCTTCCCATCAGAAGAAACTTATGTTAGGAGATCAACACCAGCTTGTGCGCTTCTCCATAAAGCCTCGTCATGTAGAACGGATTACACACGGTCGAAGAATGATGAGCAGGCTGGCAGTGCGCTACAGTTGGAGGCCACCTCTCTCTTTGTGGGCTGGATGGGTCCTTGAGTGTATCCTTTCATACCACTGTTTTTCTTGCCTCACCATCAGCCTTATGACCTTATTTTTCTCTTTCCAAACCCCTTTTTCTTCTCAATCTCACTGGCTCTATTCTTGCCCCTATTATTTTACCTGCATGAATCAAAGAACTCCACTATATATGTTTCCTTAAGAGAAAACAGGTCGTCTCTTCACAAACTTCGTCATATTCCTCATATTTCTGAATACAATTGTACTGATGGTTGAAATAGGTGAGAATTGACATTGAATGAAAGAGTAAGTGGGTGGAAGTCATTTTTCCTTTAAGTTGATTATTTTACATTTGTAATGTCATTTGAATTGTGATAGGCAAGCTGCTAAGATCTAGATATCTTTGGAGGGCTTTTGAGAGTGTAGTAGATATAAGGTTAGTCTCATGTTAGAGGTAGAGTGTAATAGAATCAGCAAGGAACTGGAGATGGGAAGACTGGTTATATTTCTTGTGTCAGTTTAGTCTACATTTGTTTGAATTAACCTTTCCTATTAGAGATATTGGTGCCTAATGTGAGTGATCCAATATTCACAATTTTATAAGTGTATATAGAAAGATTAAATATGAATAAGAAAGCTCACAAAGTATATAAAGTTAAGAACAAGTAAGATATTAAAGAGTAAATAACTATAAAACCAATAATAAATTATATGAAATGTATTAACAATAAAAGAAATCTGGAGAATGAGTGTGCTCATTTGACTATCATCTCAGACAAACTGATCAGAAAGGATAAAGGATAGTGGAAGTACTCACTTCTTTGTTTCATTCTCACTAGTTTTGGAGAAGTTTCCTACTTTAAAACTGTCTTTTAATGCAATTAGGTAAAAAAATATTTACACCACAATAATTAATATTATGGACCACTATCTTTAATAGGAAAGGTTAATTCAAACAAATGAAATGGTCCATAATATTTCCTCCTGGTATGTATTTGCCTTGTGAGGTTAGAGATACAGTCTTAAGCCTTGAAATAAAGTAAATATCAGTAAGTGTACAAGATTTCCTGCATCTGATGAGCAAATAAAAAAATAGTAGCACTGAACCATTTTGTTTGGTAAGATGGCTGAATATGAAACATGATCTGGTTCAGATCCAGGTGCCTGCTCCAAAAAAAAAAAAAAAAGAAAAAAAAGAAAAAAGAAAAGAAAGATGATCACTGTGCCAGAGAATAGGTAGACTGCCTGAGAGGAAAGTTGTATTTTATTAAGTGCACTGATGACCCAGCATGCAAAATCACACGAGCCCCAAACCACCCCCCCCCCCCCATGCTGCATACGCAGCCTCCTGGTGACTGGTCTTTGGTCATTTCTTGATTAGGGCTACTGGGTTTTCATAATATAGACTAGAGGCCAAGTGCACGAAATTTGTGCGGTGGTGGGAAGGGGGGTGTTCCTCAGCCCAGCCTGCATCCTCTCCAATCTGGGACCCCTCGAGGGATGTCTGACTGCCCTTTTAGGCCCGGTCCCACTAGGCATTCCTCTCACAATTCAGGACTACTGGCTCCCAACTGCTCACCTGCCTGCCTTCCTGATTGCCCCTAACTGCTTCTGCCTACCAGCCTAATCACCCCCTAACCACTCCCCTGCCAGCCTGATTGATGCCTAACTGCTCCCCTGCCAACCTGTTTGCCCCTAACTGCCCTCACCTGCAGGCCTGGTCCCTCCCAACTACCTTCCTCAGCTGGCCATCTTGTGGCAGCCATTATGTCCACATGGGGGCAGCCATCTTGTGTGCTGGAGTGATGGTCAGTCTGCATATTACTCTTTTATTAGATAGGGTTCTCATGGTAGAAAGGCAGGAGAAATAATTATTTGTGAATAACAGATTTCTTTGAACTGATTAATTAATGTGATAAACATTAAAACTTTGTTTAAGCTTTTAAAAAACAATTTTCCAGAACACAAAGAATGTTGTTAAAGATAGAAAAAAAAGTAGTTATTAACAATCAGTTTTCTAGATCAAAACTCCATAATCTTTTTTGGTTTTGTAATTTTGTTTCCCAGTAATGCATATATAATCTTTAAAATCTAGCCGAAACCGGTTTGGCTCAATGGATAGAGCATCAGCTTGGGGACTGAAAGGTCCCGGGTTCGATTCTGGTCAAGGGCATGTACCTTGATTGCGGGCATATCCCCAGAAGGGGGTATGCAAGAGGAAGCTGATCGATGACTCTCTCATCGATATTTCTAACTCTATCTCTCTCCCTTCCTTTCTGTACAAAATCAATAAAATATATTAAAAAAATAAATAAAATAATTTAAAAAAATAAAATCTCCTTAGGTGTTTTTAAAAAAATATATTTATCATCATTGATAGTATTACAAATATCTCCTATTTTACCCCACAAGTTTTTTATTGATTTGTAGAGAGCGAGAAACATTGACTGGCTGCCTCCTGTACAACTCTTACTGGGGATCAAGCCTACAACCCAGGGATGTGCCCTGACCCAGAATCGAACCTGTGACCTTTTGGTGCATAGGATGATGCTCAACCACTGAGCCAGAGCTTCCTTAGGTGTTTTAATCAATAATTTTTATGTGCTATAAAGAAGCAAGTTGAGCCAAAACTGGTTTGGATCAGTGGTAGAGCGTCGGTCTGCGGACTGAAAGGTCCCAGGTTCGATTCCGGTCAAGGGCATGTACCTGTGTTGCGGGCACATCCCCAGTAGGAGATGAAGAGGCAGCTGGTCGATGTTTCTCTCTCATCGATGTTTCTAGCTCTCTATCTCTCTCCCTTCCTCTCTGTAAAAAAATCAATAAAATATATTAAAAAAAAAAGAAGTTGAAGTAAAAGTAATATTTTAGATTAGTATAATAAATATTGTTTTTAATATTTATATAATTTTAAAAATGTCAACAAATTTATACTTTTGCCACTTTTTAAGCGTTTCATGCTATTTTTAAAGAAAATACATGGTTTGTGTACAAATGAGTTTTTAAATAACATTAAGTTTGACTTTGGGATCAAATATATATTGTGTATTATATAGTTTTTATTTAAAAAATAGTTTTATTTCTTTAACAACTTGAATAAGGATTTATCTTGGCTATATGCAGTTGATGTATTGAGTTCTGAATTTTTTTTCAATTTTTCATTAAAGTATTAGTGTACATATCTTACCATTGCCCCTCTACTCCCATATGCGCCCTCACCCCCCGGTGTTTTGTGTCCATTGGTTATGCTTATATGCATGCATACAAGTCCTTCTGTTAATCTCTTATCTCCTCTACCTCTCCCCAACCTTCCAGCTGTAATGTGAGAGTCTGTTTGATGCTTTACTGCCTCTGTATCTATCTTTATTTCATTAGTTTATAAAGTTTTTTATTATCCACAAATGATCATATGGCATTTTTTTTTAAAAAAATATTTTATTATTTTGTACAGAGAAGAAGGGAGAGAGATAGAGAGCTAGAAACATCGATGAGAGAGTCATCAACCAGCTGCCTCTTGCACGCCCCCCTACTGGGGATATGCCCGCAACCAAGGTACATGCCCTTGACCAGAATCGAACCCGGGACCTTTCAGTCCCCAAGCCGACGCTCTATCCATTGAGCCAAACCGGTCTCGGCAGAGATCATATGGTATTTTTATCTCATTGACTAGCTTATTTCACTTAGCATAATGCTCTTCAGTTCCATCCAAGTTGCTTCAAATGGTAAGAATTCCTTCTTTCTTATCGCAGCATAGTATTCCGTTGTGTAGATGTACCATAGTTTTCTGATCCAGTCATCTGCCAATAGGCAACTAGAATGTTTTCAAATCTTAGCATTGTATATATACATATATATATATATATATATATATATATATATATATATATATATATATATTTATTGATTTTTTACAGAGAGGAGGAGAGAGAGATAGAGAACTAGAAACATCGATGAGAGAGAAACACTGACCAGCTGCCTCTTGCACACCCCCTACCGGGGATGTGCCCGCAACCAACATACATGCTCCTGACCGGAATCGAACCCGGGACTTTCAGTCCGCAAACCGACACTACCACTGAGCCAAACCGGTTTTGGCAAATCTTAGCTATTGTAAATTGTGCTGCTATGAACATAGGGGCGCAAATATCTTTTCTGATTGGTGTTTCTAGTTTCTTAGGATAAATTACTAGGAGTGGGATTACTGGGTCAAATGGGAGTTCCATTTTTAGTTTTTTGAAGAAACTCCATACTGTTCCCACAGTGGCTGCACTAGTCTGCATTTCCACCAGCAGTGCAGGAGGGTTTTTTTTCTCTGCATCCTTGCCAACACTTGTCCTTTGTTGATTTGTTGATGATAGTCATTGGGATGGCAAGGGAGCAGTTAGGCATCGATCAGGATGGCAGGGAGTGTTTAGGGGGTATCAGGCTGGCAGGCAGAAGCAGTTAAGGGTTGATCAGGCAGGCAAGCAGGTGAGCGGTTGGGAGCCAGCAACCACAGGATTTTGAGAGGGATCCCAGATTGGAAAGGGTGCAGGCTGTGCTGAGGGACACACACACACACATACACCCATGCACAAATTTTGTGCACCAGGCCTCTAGTTTAATTATAATGTGTCTTGGCATTGGTCTTTTGGGGTTCATTTTTCTTGGGACTCTGTGAGCTTCTTGGATTTGTGTGGGGTTTTTCTTCCCTATATCAGGGAAGTTTTCTGTTATTATTTCTTCAAACAGGTTTCCTATTCCATGCTCAGTTTCCTCTCCTTCTGGAACTCCCTATTATGCGAATGTTGTTTTGTTTCATGTTGTCCCAAAGTTCCCTTAGGCTCTCCTCCTGCTGTTTAATTTTTCTTTCTAGAAGCTGCTCTACTTGAGTATTTTCCCCCAACTTGTCTTCTAGCTAACTGATGCAGTCCTCTACTTCTTTTAGTCTACTTTTGAGGCTTTCTATTGAGTTCTTTAAAGCAGCGATGTCATTTTTCATTTCTCGGTTCTTCTTCATTTCCTCTTGGTTCTTACTCATATTGTTGAATTTGTATTCCATTCTTTTCAGCCACCTTATGACCATTTATCTGAATTCTTTCTCTGACAGGTTGCTTACCTCCATTTCATTTACTTCCTTTTCTGGTGATGCCTGCTTTTCTTTCTTCTGCGGGCTGTTTCTTTGTCTCCCCATGCTCTCTCTGCTTATGTAGTTCTTTCTCTCCTTATCCCAGGCAAAATCTGACCTTTCTGTGGTGGAGAGTAGAGCTCCTCTGAATCCGCGTCTTTGTGCCCATTGGGGACCAGTGTTCTGGGTTTCGCAGCTTTTGGTGGGTGCCACAGTTGTAGATTTTCAGGTTTCCAATAACATCCACTTTCCCCTTCAAGATGGTGCTGAGTTGGCATGTGTTTTCTTCCCCCTAGAAATAATGTCTTAATTCTCTTTACACTTCATATTTCATGGCAAAAGTTTGGCTTGTAACATTTTTTCTTCAAGCAGCTCTGTGACCAAGATCTGCAGCCCTAGGCTGTCTCTTTCTATTGTTTCCTGAGTTTTGAATTTTTAATTCTTTGTTATAGTTCTTGAATATCCATCTATCTACCTATCTATTTATTTATTTATTTATTTATTTATTTATTTATTTTTTTTTATATATTTTATTGATTTTGTACAGAGAGGAAGGGAGAGAAATAGAGTTAGAAACATTGATGAGAGAGAGTCATCGATCAGCTGCCTCTTGCACACCCCCTACTGGGGATATGCCCACAACCAAGGTACATGCCCTTGACTGGAATCGAACCCGGGACCCTTCAGTCCCCAAGCCGACGCTCTATCCATTGAGCCAAACCAGTCCCGGCAACCTATCTATTTATTTAGGTATCCATTATATATTTATCAATCTATCTTTTTTTTTTTTTTAAATCATCACCCAAGGATATTTGTTTCCATTGAGTTTTAGAGAGAGTGGAAGGGAGGGAGGAGAGGGAAAAAGAGAGGGAAGAAGGGAAGGAGAGAGAGAGAGAGAGAGAGAGAGAGAGAGAGAGAGAGAGAGAGAAATTGATGTGAGAGAGTCACATTGACTGATTGCCTTCCTCCCCCAATATGGCTAAGATTTGAACTTGCAACTGAGGTACATGCCCTTAGTTGGGAATTGTATCCATGACCCTTTGGTCCTTGGGCTGACTCCAACCACTGAGCCAAACTAGTAAGGGCTATATAGTTTTTAATTTAATTATTATATTTTAATTTTTTAAAATTGATTTCAGAGGAAGGGAGAGGGAGAGAGAGATAGGAACATCAGTGATGAAAGAGAATCATTGATTAGCTGTCTCCTGTGCATTCCACACTGGGGATCAAACCTGCAACCCAGGCAATTTCCCTGACCGTGAATTGAACCATGACCTCCTGGTTCATGAAATATGAAGTGTAAACTACATTGGCCAGGCTGTTTTTTGTTTTTTTAATAGAGCTATAATTGACATATAACATTAGTTTCAGGCTTACAACATAATGTATTATATGTTAGATACATGTGCTATATGTTAAAATGTAGATGGAAATGTGATAGGGCATAAAAAATAAGAAAAAATCAACTTTCATAATGATATTGTTTATTTTTAAAATTTTTGTATTTTGTTTCTGAATGATAAGAGAAAAGAAAGAAGATTTGATCCATTTTCTTTGATTGTAACATATTGGCAAGTATGAATAGCCCTATTTCCAACAAAATATGGATATAATTAGCCATAATATTACTAAAAGCAATAACAATTTAAAACAGGGTGTCACAATTTACACAGCAGTTGTATTCTTCAGGATGATTGAGTATGGTTTTCTGATCTCCATTAATTGGCAAGCATATCAGTCATAGTGCATTTGCAGGCTCTCATGGTATTCTGTTTCTAAAGGAAACATACTACATTTTTAAGCTTCTAAGCCTATTTTAACCTCAATGTGATTTTAAAAAAATATATTTTATTGATTTTTTACAGAGAAGAAAAGATAGGGATAGAGAGTGAGAAACATCGATGAGAGAGAAACATCGATTAGCTGCCTCTTGCACACCCCCTACTGGGGACGTGCCCGCAACTCAGGTACATGCCCTTGACTGGAATCGAACCAGGGACTCTGGGGTCCACAGGCCAATGCTCTATCCATTGAGCCAAACCAGTTTGGGCTCAATGTGATTTTTAAAAAAAATATATTTTATTGATTTTTTACAGAGAGGAAGAGAGGGGGATAGAGAGCTAGAAACGTCGAGAGAGAAACATCGACCAGCTGCCTCTTGCACACCCCCTACCGGGGATGTGCCCGCAACCAATGTACATGCCCTTGACCGGAATCGAACCTGGGACCCTTCAGTCTGCAGACCGATGCTCTAATCACTGAGCCAAACCGGTTTCGGCTCAATGTGATTTTTTAATAGCATGATATACATTCACTAAATGTATAAAAAGAGATGAAGAAGGTTGAAAGATTAAAGCAATGAGTTAAGGAAAAGCAATTAGCAAATAATAGGATTCTAGAAAGAAAGTAAAGGATTCTATTTGCTTTGCAGAATGAAATAAATTTTATAGAAGAAAGGGGAAGTTTTTTTTTATTATTATTATTTTAAATATATTTTATTGATTTTTTACAGAGAGGAAGGGAGAGAGATAGAGAGCTAGAAACATCGATGAGAGAGAAACATCGACCAGCTGCTTCTTGTACACCCCCTACCGGGGATGTGCCCGCAACCAATGTACATGCCCTTGCCCGGAATCGAATCTGGGACCTTTCAGTTCTCAGACCGACGCTCTACCACTGAGCCAAACCGGCTTCGGCAGAAAGGGGAAGTTTTAAAAGCTAGCAAATAACCCTGGTTAGGTAGCTCAGTTAGTTAGATTAGCATCCTGTTACATCAAGGTTGTAGTCTCAATTCCTGCTTAGGTACCTAGAAGAGTTGACCAATGAATAGATGAATGAGTGGAACTACAAAATCAATGTTTCTCTTTCTCTCTTTCTCCTTCCCCACTGCCTTTTTCTTTTAAAAAAACACAACACCAAAAACAAACAAACAAACAAACAACTAACAAAGAACCAAGCAATTTCTTGTTCTGATTCAATATGACCCATGAATTTGGCTTCTTGTTTCTATATCCCTTATAAAGCACTTAATATATATCATGGCCCTACATTTTCATTCTATTCTCAAGGCTCATTTAAGATGGGAAGGGGGTTAGCAGTACAGCAGATAGGGTTGATGGTGGTTAAGAGATGAATTTGTGTTATCCCAGAGTGGGAAAGCAGTGACTAATAGGCAGCTATTAGGCATATCCATAGCAGCAGGAAAGATGAGTCATAGCTATTTTTCATGTTTGATTCTGACCACCCCTGTATTTTACAGGTTGGAACAACCACAGTGTTTAAAGAAACAAAAAAGTGAAATAGCAGTGGGCACAACTGTGGCTTATAACAGGTTGTGATCATTCTCTATCATTCAGCTTCCCACTTCCCTAACCTTTATTCATCCTTTGCTTTATTCTCACAGAATTGCTTGAATCCTCAAATATCAAACTGTGGCCACTGAAGTTGACTGTGGAGGTGGTAGCTTGGTTCATCTTACTTGTTTTCATCTTGGAGATCCTTCTTATGTGGCTATCCAGCTTTTCCCTCTTCTGGAAGAATTCCTGGAATGTCTTTGATTTTTTTATTACCATGTTGGTAAGGATAGATACCCTGAGGATTAGTTTAGTGGGCTGAGGAATGTGCCTAGGTGAATCAAAATGACAAGAAAAATTAAGATAATTATATCACAGGAAGAAACAAATAGAAATGTATCTAACTTTCTCCCCCCCACCTCTTTTAAAACTAAAATTAATTCATTGTAAGAATTGGTATTAGGAGCAAGGCAGAATCTAACCCCAACAATAATGTCTACCAGTTACTAAGCACTTAGTAAGTGCCAAGCACTGTTCACATATATTTTCTCATTTAAACTCCACAACAACCCAATGAGATAGGCACTGTTAATCTCCTTTTTATTTATTTTTAATTGTTTTGTTAATCCTCACTTGAGGATTAACTTTTCCATTAATTTTTAGGGAGAATGGAAGAGAGAGGGGAAGGCAGAGAGAAACATTGATGTGAGAGAAACACATCGATTGGTTGCTTCCTGCACGAGCCCTGACCATGGCCCAGGCTGGGGAGGAGCCTGCAACCAAGATATGTGCCCTTGACCTAAATCATCTGCAGGTTGACGCTCTATCCACTGAGCCAAACTGGCTAGGGCTATCCCTGTTTTGTGTCTGAGCAAATTGAAGTATAAAGTTTAAGTAATTTAGTATAGAAGGACCAAATAGGAAACAACCTCCAGAGAATGTTATTCAAGGGATAATGCCCAAGGAACTATGAAAAAGACCAGAATACGAAGGAACAACTGTGTGTGTGTGTGCTTTTGGGTATATTTTACTCATAATCTCTGTGTTTCCCACAGTCCCTGATTCCTGAGATTGTGCTGCTGACAGGGGTAGCAAGCCAATCTGTATGGCTCCAGTTGCTGAGGATTTGCCGGGTTCTAAGGTCTCTCAAACTCTTTACACGATTCCGTCAAATTCGAGTCATTATTTTGGCCCTGGTCAGGGCCCTTAAGGTGATTTGACTGTAGCAGCAAAGCCAGGTGGACAAGGTGGACAAACATGGGGGTTACGTGATACAAGTCTGGGTGGGACAAAGAAGGCAATGAAGGACCCTGAGATATGTTATTGGATGAGAAAGGGCTGTGGTCAAGCTGCTGTCGACTAAGATGGCTGGGCTCAAGGCTAAGTGAGGGTTTGTTGGGGGGTTGCCAGGGTGGGCTCGACTGGGCTATAGGTGGACATCAGCCTTGTCTGGTCCAGCACTAACTTAAGTCATGGTCTCTAGAGCATGACGTTCCTTCTGTTGCTGCTGATCATCTTCTTCTACATTTTTGCTGTGGCCGGTGTCTACTTCTTCGAGGATTATACCCGTTCAACTCGCCAGGACCTGGAGTACCAAGTATTCTTCTCGTAGGCAGGACTGGGAGAAGCCTGGGTAGGGGGAGAGAATTTGAGCAAGAAACCGGGAAGCTAGTCTAAAGTATAAGTAAGTAATATAAAAAGTTTAGACTATTGTAAAAAAAAAAACACATTAGAATAGAACACAGTAAGGAGAGGCAAAGACAAAGTAAAGGAACAGTTAGTGGTATTCACTCTGATTTTGAGGATAAGGCAGCTACCTGATATGCTGTGGGTTTTGCAAGTCCATATGCACCTTCATCAACCATTTTTAAATGTCAGTATATTCCAGTGGTTAAGTTCTGGTTTCTATGCCTCAATTACCTCTTTTGAAAAATGAGACTAAGAGTGTAGGTAAATTAGGTAATACATTTAAGCACTTAGAATGCATTTAGGAATACTTACACACATTGTAATAATAAACGTCACTCTCATTAGTTTTAGGTGTGTGGATTACACATGCACACACCTGTACTCATTCAAAAGTAAAATCCTGATAAGATCTTTGCCTAAAAATTTTCTATTGATTTAATAGAAAATCAATTCGGATTTAGAGGTGATAATATTTATGAATTGGAATCCAATCTTGTCAGCACCTCTCAGGTCTCTCTCAGTAGTTTTGTAAGAGTACAAGTTAGGAAAGTCCTGTTTATCCTATTCAGGCTTTGATGTTTCCAACAAATTGTATATGGAGGACTAAGAAGGAAAGAAGGAAATTTTAAATATGTTCCTGAGAGTTTTTGTGATACAGTCATTATCATTTATTATTTGGGATCATATGTTTATGTCACAAATCCATTTATTTAGTTGGCTATCATTCCATATCAACAAACTAAATAGGAATGATGTTTGCTAAATTTATAAGTGCTCTTCTGTTAGGTGAACTAAATAGGACAGTGGAGAATGAGCTTACAAAAAAATGATACATAATTGGTAGTTAAATTTTTATAAATTCAGTAAGTATCTATTTGTTTTTAAAAATATATATTTTGCTTTTAGAGAGGAAGGGAGAGGGAGAGAGAGATAGAAACATCAATGATGAGAGAGAATGATCAATTGGCTGTTTCCTTCACGCCCTCTACTGGGGATGGAGCCCGCAACCCGGATACATACCCTTGACAGGAATTGAACCTGGGACTACAAGCCAATGCTCTATCCACTGAGCCAAACTGGCTAAGGCAGTACCTATTTATTGAGTACATACTATGTCTCAGGTACTAATGAAATAGTATTTGAAATTTATAAATTATTCATGATAAAGGAAAACCTAATAAAACAACCTCAAACTGAAGAATGATTAGCTAAAAAAATTGAGCACAGTAGAAAAGAAGCCAGAGTCAGAGCAAACTCTAAAGAAATGCTCTTAGGTTGCTTTACTAGAAAGAGTAAGAATGAAGGGAAAAGTGAGAATGAAACTGTCTGAGAGGTTTAGATTTCTGTTTTATCTATACACACACCTTTTTCTTTAGGGATCTGTTGAATTCCTTAGTGACAGTGTTCATTCTCTTCACCCTGGATCATTGGTATGCACTGCTTCAGGACACATGGAAGGTGCCTGAGGTCAGCCGAACCTTCAGCAGCATCTATGTCATCCTTTCGTTGTTACTTGGTTCCATTATCTTTCGAAATATCATAGTAGCAATGATGGGTAAGCATAGAAGGGGTAAGATTTGATGGGAGGGGTGGTTGGGAAGAAATTAGAGTGAAAGCTAATACTGGTGGATTACGGAGCGAGAGAACCTGATATTGCAGGAAGGCTTGGGGCCTATATGAATATTTCACTTGGTTTCTCCCCTCCTAAGTCCTCTCCCAAGGCCTAGTCACATTCTCAAATCCGAATGGCCCTTTGGGTCAGTTACTAACTTTCAGACTATCAGGAACGAGCTGAATGAAGAGATGACACATCTGGAAGTTCAGCACAAAGCCGGCATATTCAAGCGGCAGATTATCCAAAGGTCTGCCTCTTCATTTTCAAACCCAACTTCAGTTCTCAAAGGTTTTCTGATCTCATTCCCTGTTTTTACTCTTTGGCCTTGACTCCATCTTCCCCTTGGGACAGAAGATTTGCCCAAGGATTAGAATGCCCCATCTCTAGAATATTGCCTGATTCTTTATCTACTGTTGGGGACATCCCTAGTCTTTTCTACCCCTTTATCACAATTTGTTCTCTCCCCTTACTTTATTTTATTATATGAATTATTTTTTTTCTTCATTAAATTCCTGCTTCAGTATAACTCTCTTCACTCTTCTGTGTTTTTTTGTTTTACAGGAGACAAAACTTGTCCCCTGATGCACAGAGGTCAAGCAATGAAAAAATGAAAATCAGGTTAGGAGTGTATACATGAACTGGGATGTACACACATGAAGGAGGAGAGGGTAGAAAATCAGAGATAAAAATTGGCTTTGAGAAGGCATTCATTCATTCATTCATTCATTCATTCATTCAATAACTTGATTGTATGCTCATGTCCTAACCCCCAGAACCTGGGAACATGGCCTTATTAAGGAAAAGTGTCTTTGCAGATGTAATTAAGTTAAGGATCTTGAGATGGAATTACCCAGGTAGATCCTAAATCCGGTTGATAAGGGTCCTTATCAGATACAGAAAAGGAGAAGACATGCAGAAGACATAGAGAACAGGAGAAGATGTGAAGACAGAGGTAGAGATTGGAGTGATGCATCTACAAGTCAATAGAAGCCAATGAATGCTAGGCAACTAACTGCCAAAGCTAGAAGAAGCAAGGAAACTTCTCCCCTAGAACTTCCAGAGGGAGTCAGTTTGGCTCAATGGGTAAAGTGTTGGCCCTCAGACTGAAGCATCCAAAGTTTGACTCTGATCAAGGACACATACTTTGGTTACAGTCTCCATCACTGGGCCCTGTTGGGACACATGTGGGAGACAACCAATCAATGTATTTTGCTCACATAGATATTTCTCTCTCTCTTCCCCTCCCTTTCACTTTCTCTAAAAAAGTCAATGGGAAAAAATATCCTCGGGTGAGATTTAAAAAAAAAAGACAATAATGCTGCTCTCATGTAGCTTACATAGTAGTTATGGGAAAGAGACAATAAATAATGAACATATAAATAAGTATATAATATGTTTAAATATAATAAACATAGCCAAGACTGGTTTGGCTCAATGGATAGAGCGTCGGTTTGGGGACTGAAGGGCCCCCGGTTCGATTCCAGTCAAGGGCATGTACCTTGGTTGCGGGCATATCCCCTGTAGGGGGTGTGCAAGAGGCAGCTGATCGATGATTCTCTCTCATCGATATTTCTAACTATCTCCCTTTCTCTCTGTACAAAAATCAATAAAAAATATATTTAAAAATATATAATAAACATGAAAAAGTTGGACAGGTTAAGGGGGATTGGAATACAGGGTAGGGATTGCAGATCTGTTGTAATCTTAAACAAGGTAGTTGTTGGTATGGCCACATTGAAAAGGTAACATTTGAGCAAAGACTTGAATTAGGTGAGGGGTTTACTATGTGTATATCTATGGATGAGTGTTCCAGGAAGAGGGAACAGATGGCACAAAGGTCCATGCCTGATGTGTTTGAGAAAGAGCAAAGAAGCCATTATGACTGCAGCAAAGTGAACAGGGGAAGAGTGATAGGAGATAGTGGGGACCCTATTCTGTAAGGCTGTGCAGGGATTTAGGCTTTGACTCTGAGTGAAATGGGGAACCTATCAGAGCAGTGACATGAAATTACTTACATTTAAGAAGGGTCACCCTGGTTGCTATGTTGATAGGCTGTAGAAGAATGAGAGAAGGAACAGAGAGAGAAATTAGGAGGCTATACTGCTCTCCAAGCAAGAGGTGATAATGACTCAGACTGGAGTGGTACCAGTGGTGCCAGTGAAAAAAAGATGTATTTAGCCGAAACCGGTTTGGCTCAGTGGATAGAGCGTCGGCTTGGGGGCTGAAGGGTCCCGGGTTCGATTCCGGTCAAGGGCATGTACCTTGGTTGCGGGCACATCCCCAGTAGGGGATGTGCAAGAGGCAGCTGATCGATGACTCTCATCGATGTTTCTAACTTGCTATCTCTCTCCCTTCCTCTCTGTACAAAATCAATAAAATATATTTAAAAAAAAAGAAAAAGAAAAAAAGATGTATTTTGAAGGTAGAATCAACAGAACTTCATGATGGGCTGGATGTGGTATATAAGAGAAGAGTTCAAAGTTTTGGCCTGAGCAACTGATGGGATGAATTAGCTGAGATGGGGAAGGCTATTGGTAGAAAAGATGTGATGGACAAAGAATTCAGTTTTGGTTAAATTCAAGATGTTTATTATACATTCAAGTGATGATATGTGAGTTAAGGTTGCATATACTAGACTTGATTGAGAAATGAGGTCTGGAATAGAAGTTCAAATTTACATTTATTAGGCATTTAAACTCAGATGAGATCATCAAAGAGTGACGATAGATGGAGAAGATAAAGGACCAAGAGCTGAGCCCTGAAACCCTCTACTATTAAAAGATAGAATCATGGGGGCAAAGGCTATAGTTGTGGTGTTATAGGCTTAGGGTTATGGAATGGGGAGCTAAAGCTTGGCAAATAAGGTTGTGTGTAGAATGTGAGAGCCTGAGTAAAATTGAGCACAGGAGCTATGTGGTGAGGGGCACTAATAAAGATTTAGCACATGCAATATTTGAGGTTGGAAGTGCTTAAGCTCAGATTTGGGGCTTGCATATACAATGTTTGTATATGCAATGAGCAGTTTGGCCCTCCCTCAATAGCCTTAAGTCTCAGTGTTAAGAGATGGCTAGGGACAGTACCAGAATAATGAAAGAGCTAACCATACCTCATAAATATATTTCAGGCAATAAAATTTTTTCATTCACTTATAGAACTACCAGTCAACAAACAGGATCTTTGGGCTTATCAGAAGAAGGTATTAAAGAAGAGTCTGGAAGCAGTTCCTTTGATGAAGAAGATTTAAGAGCATCTGAGTCAAAAAAAGAGTTCTCGTCAAAAAAAGAAGAGTCCCCCTTTTCCTCCTCTTCATCTTCCTCATTCTCCTCATCTGCTTCCTTCCAACATTCACCTTCCCTCTTTTCCCCTTCTTCTGAATCCAGAAATTATGAGACTATTGGTAAGCAGAGGGTTCTTCCATTGAGTTCAGACTCCTTTAGGAGATATTCCATTCTTAACAAGAGCTCTCCCACTATGTCTACTTCTCAATTTTCTCTACCAGTCTGATTTTACTTTTTGTGTGCTTCATTTTCTCTGTACTTCTGCTTCATGTTGGATAGTGTTAGTGTGGCTGTGGCTGTCTTTGCTTATTGTGAAAAGTGGTCTCTTAGTAATGCACCCGTTACCCTCTTCTCTGCTTCCTGTTACCACTTTTATCCCTTCTTTCTCCCCACACACCATAGGATTTATCAGTTCTTTTGCAACTTCCACAAATCTATTTGTTTTTGAGAAGAATTTCTCCATCTAGGTGAATTGGACTGGGAGACCCATGTGCACCAGAATCTGCCCGGGCTGATGGACATGGATCAGGATGAATGCATTGTTTGGCCTAGAGATTCACTCTTCCGGTATTTTGAGTTGCTAGAAAAGCTTCAGTATAACCTAGAGGAGCGTAAGCGGTTGCAAGAGTTTGCAGGTATGGATTTGGGTCACTCATAGGGACCAGGAGTTAAGTACAATTGGAGTAGCATATATAACTGAGTTGTCCTCAGCCTTGCCTTCTCACTTGTTCTCTGAGGAGAACAGGATGAAAGAGATAAGATAGCAAGGCAGGGAGATTTGGGGGAGATAATAGATCAACCGAAGGACTTATATACATGCATATAAGTACAACCAATGGACACAAAACTCTGGGGAGGGAGGGCACGTATGGAAGGGGGTGGGCAATGGTATATGTACAAAGATAATAATTTAATTAAAAATAAAAAAAAGATAGCAAGGCAGCTTCTTTAAATTATCTATGGTAAAGAGTAGAGGTGCATATGGCTTAATTTTTTTTTCCAATTTATAGTTGATAAGCAACACATGGCTTAATTAAAAGTAAACATTAGTAAAAATTTGTGTGGGAACCGAGAAAAGCAGAGACTTCAAACATTTGTATGTTCTGAATATTCCCAGCTCTCCATCCTCACAGTTTGTTTTTTTACAGTGCAAGCACTAATGAACTTTGAAGACAAGTAAAGCCAATGATGATGGCTTCGATATCTTTGGCACCAGATATTAAAGGGAATAGTTTGAAATTGAGAATTCAAAGTATAAATGTTTAATAAATATTCCTGGTAATTGCTTAATGGCCTATCTCTGAAATCTAGGGGATATTGAAAGGTATAAAATTAGGTGAAAAAAGTTGGTTTACATGCCAGTGGGACCTAGGCCTTTGGCTTTCTACCCATTGCACAGCTGCTCAGGTTGACTCTTTCCTTGACTTGATAAATTTGGTTCCCACCTTTCCTGCAAACTGCTTCTTGATAGAGTCCTAATTTCACTGTCTCCTTCCTGTTGAGCACAGGAGATTCCAGGGTAAATAATTGAGAACTATTGCTTCCAATGCCTACTCTAGGAACATTGCTTCTAACCTGTACAGTTAATTTTTAAAAAATATATATTTTATTGATTTTTCACAGAGAGGAATAGAGAGAGATACAAAATTAGAAACATTGATGAGAGAGTCATCGATCAGCTGCCTCTTGCACGCCCCTACTGGGGATGTGCCCGCAACCCAGGTACATGCCCTTGACCAGAATCAAACCTGGGACCTTTCAGTCCACAGGCCCACGCTCTATCCACTGAGCCAAACCGGTTTCGGCTGTACAGTTAATTTTAATCAAATATTATTTTTACCTGTTTCTGAGGCCAAAAGAGAGTCCTTTATCCCATTTCCTTGCCATTGCTTAGCACAGTGATTCCACTGTGTAGTGTTAGGGTCACCAAAGGGGAGCACACTAGGCCAAAAGTGGTAAATACTTGCAAATTTATTAGGTCATCTGGAAACCAGATGGGCTGAGCTTCAAAATGGCACCAGCACCCAGGGATAGGGAGTCAGAGATTTTAAAGGACTTTAGGAGTGCTTTTTTTTGGGTGGGAGGGTGTTTGGAGGATATATCTTGAGGCAGGCGCAGGTCTTGGGCAAGTCCGGAGGGGAAAGTTACTGGTCTTGGCAAATGGAATGTGGTCTAAATTAAAGGGAATATTGGTTGCAAAATGATATAAATGTCAGTTTCCCAGGGGAGGGGCTATCAATTCAATTATTTGATTAGACCTAACCATAGGAGTGTTCAAATCATAAGCATCCCATAGATTTTTATAGTAGGGACCTCAGAGTTTAGCTCCCATCAGAACAGGAACATGTTTTAGAACATCATTAAAAAGGGAATTGATTATCCATCTGGTGCTTAATGTTTCTGGTTTCAGGAGATCCCATTCCATTGTTGGATGAATCAAGTCTTTACAAGTGTTTATTACTAAAACTCTATAATTTTTTGAGTGCTTAACTCATACATACATAAAAAACACTGAATTGTACACTTTAAAATGGTGACTTTTATGTTATGTGAATTATATCTCAGTTTTAAAAAATGAAGTAAGTAGCCTTCCACCACACCCCCAGCACACTAGATTCTTGGGTTGGTGGCTTATGGGACTCCACACAGGGAATAATAGATTTTAACACCTGACTATGGCATGGAAAGGAAGCTCTGGACACAGGCCTGCTTCTGGAACCCGAGCTGCACCTTTTCCAGGACTGGTTTCTCTCAATAAACTTTTCCTCCATTAAAAAAAATGAAATAAAGATTATCTAAAACCAAGAACCAATATTATGTCTAAGGAAAAGCATTGTAGTCATGCACCATAAAATGAGAAAAATGTTTTTAAAACAAATGTCAATAAATAATTTTGTATTAAACATCCTTTAATAAATGTATATTTTATATATATATTTTATTGATTTTTCACAGAGAGGAAGAGAGAGAGGGATAGAGAGTTAGAAACATCGATGAGAGAGAATCATCGATCAGTTGCCTCCTGCACACCCCCTTCTGGGGATGTGCCTGAAACCAAGATACATGTCCTTGACCGGAATCGAACCTGGGACCTTTCAGTCCGCAGGCTGACGCTCTATCCACCGAGCCAAATCAGTTTTGGCCTTTTAAAAATATTTTTATTGATTTCAGAAAGAAAGGGAGAGGGAGAGAGAGACAGAAACATCAATGATGAAAGAGAATTATTTATTGGCTACTCCTGTACACACCCCAAACTGGAGATCAAGCCCACCCTCAACCCAGGCACATGCCCCTATCGGGAATTGAACTAGTCATAGGTCAACACTCAACTACTGAGCCATGCTGGTTTGGCTCCATTGCTTTCTTAGAGAGAATTGAAAGGGAGGAGAGAAGAGAGATAGAAACATCGATGTGAGAGAGACACATTGATTGGTTGTGTCCCTCATGTGTCCCAATCAGGATGGGATAAAACCTGCAACCCATGTATGTGCCTTTGACTGGGAATTGAACCCATGATCCTTTGGTATGCAGGCCAAAACTATAACCACTGAGAACACCATCCAGGGTGTGTATTAAAAATTTTGTCTTGTCTTAATAAATATGGCATCATTTTTTTTCAAAAAAGACCTAGTAAAACTACTATTTTTAGACATAATTATATACCCAGAAACCCCAAAGGAGTCAAGTAGAATTACAGATAACAAAGGATTTCCACTAAGTACAAATATAAGAAAAAAAAAGGCTGTAACATTTAAGGGATAGGAGGAGGAAGAGGAACCAACAAAGAAGCCTGAGAAAGAAGAGCTGAAGAGACAGAAGGATAGTCATTCTAGAGTAATGTCAATAGAGACAAGACAGGATATCTTTAAAATTTTAGAGAGAAATATTGATTTATTGTTCCATTTATTTATGCATTTTTTGGCATAAATTTGCGTATTTTTTTTTTAATTTTTTTAATCAATCTTTATTGTTCATATTATTACAAAGGTTCCTCATTTCTTCCCCCCTCCACCAGGTTCCCACCCCCCCCCGTCCCCCCCCCCATTGTCCTCATCCATAGGTGCAGTTTATGTTCAGTCTCTTCTTCCCTCAATTTCCCCAATAGTAAATCCCTTTTCAGATAGTAAATCAGTTACTTAGCATTTTCTCATATCAATAATACCTCCACATGCCCAATGATACACTTCACACAAAAGACATTTCCCTCTAGGTCAACCAGCCTCATCCAGGCCCCACCCAAGGCACTCACAGATCAACACCCCAGTCCTAAACTAACTCAACACATCCAGATCTAAGCCTTCATCACTTGATTCAGCAGACCCTCAAGTTCCCACGAAAGTTTCCAGCCATGTCTGAGAAGCAGCCGTGGGGCAGGGGCAGGCAAGGAGCGAGCTGTTCTGGGCCTGGCTGCTCAGGGCCTGGCCTCTGTTGCTCTGGTTCATTCCACAATCAGCTGCTCCGGGTCTGGTCACTGCCGCTCCCGACCTAGTTGCTCTGGACTTGGTTGCTGCTGCTCCGGGCCTAGCCGCTCCCAGCCTGGCAGCTGCTGCTCCGGGCCTGGCCGCACCCGACCCGGCTGCTCCCCCGGGCCTGGCCGCTCCCAGCCTGGCAGCCGCTGCTCCGGGCCTGGCCGCACCCGACCCGCCTCTCCCCCGGGCCTGGCCGCTCCCAGCCTGGCAGCCGCTGCTCCGGGCCTGGCCGCACCAGCCCCGCCTGCTCCCCCGGGCCTGGCCGCTCCCAGCCTGGCAGCCGCTGCTCCGGGCCTGGCCGCACCCGACCCGCCTGCTCCCCGGGCCTGGCCGCTCCTAGCCTGGCAGCCGCTGCTCCAGGCCTGGCCGCACCAGCCCCGCCTGCTCCCCCGGGCCTGGCCGCTCCCAGCCTGGCAGCCGCTGCTCCGGGCCTGGCCGCACCCGACCCGCCTCTCCCCAGGGCCTGGCCGCTCCCAGCCTGGCAGCCGCTGCTCCGGGCCTGGCCGCACCAGCCCCGCCTGCTCCCCCGGGCCTGGCCGCTCCCAGCCTGGCAGCCGCTGCTCCGGGCCTGGCCGCACCAGACCCGCCTGCTCCCCGGGGCCTGGCCGCTCCCAGCCTGGCAGCCGCTGCTCTGGGCCTGGCCGCACCAGCCCCGCCTGCTCCCCCGGGCCTGGCCGCTCCCAGCCTGGCAGCCGCTGCTCCGGGCCTGGCCGCACCAGCCCCGCCTGCTCCCCCGGGCCTGGCTGCTCCCAGCCTGGCAGCCGCTGCTCCGGGCCTGGCCGCACCCGACCCGCCTGCTTCCCCAGGCCTGGCCGCTCCCAGCCTGGCAGCCACTGCTCCGGGCCTGGCCGCACCCGACCCGCCTGCTCCCCCGGGCCTGGCCGCTCCCAGCCTGGCAGCCGCTGCTACGGGCCTGGCCGCACCCGACCCGGCTGCTCCCCCGGGCCTGGCCGCTCCCAGCCTGGCAGCCGCTGCTCCGGGCCTGGCCGCACCAGCCCCGCCTGCTCCCCCGGGCCTGGCCGCTCCCAGCCTGGCAGCCGCTGCTCCGGGCCTGGCCGCACCCGACCCGCCTGCTCCCCCGGGCCTGGCCGCTCCCAGCCTGGCAGCCGCTGCTCCGGGCCTGGCCGCACCAGCCCCGCCTGCTCCCCCGGGCCTGGCCGCTCCCAGCCTGGCAGCCGCTGCTCCGGGCCTGGCCGCACCCGACCCGCCTGCTCCCCCGGGCCTGGCCGCTCCCAGCCTGGCAGCCGCTGCTCCGGGCCTGGCCGCACCAGCCCCGCCTGCTCCCCCGGGCCTGGCCGCTCCCAGCCTGGCAGCCGCTGCTCCGGGCCTGGCCGCACCCGACCCGGCTGAATTTGCGTATTTTTTGTATGGGCCTTGACTGAGGATCAAACCTGCAACATTGGTATATTGGGACAATGCTCTTACCAACTTAGCTACCCAACCAGGGCCTCAAAATAGAATTCTAAGGAAGGCATGGTCCAATAAGATCTGGTTTGGAACATCCATTGAACTTGGAAAGCAGAATACAATCCTAATATATATAAAAAGCCATGGACTGTCACAACAAAAAACCAGATGGATGACTGAACAGCAGGCTGCGTGGGGCGACCAGGCTGGCAGCGGAGGCTAGTGAGGGATGACCAAACGACTGAACAGCAGGCTGTGTGGGGCAACCAGGCCAGTAGGGGGACCAGTTGGGGGCAACCAGGCT